TATCATGTACAAAAAGTCCTTTTTTTTTGTAAATATTCCAGAGTAAATCTTTCTACAATACCATTAATTTACATGTATGTTAGGGACATTATTTTTGGTGTACAGATAACTAGTTTTATTAACTAGTGATGACTTTTGTTTCTCGAGAGCTTTCAATTCTTGTATATTGTACAATCACACCTAAACTATTGTTTGGACAACGGGTATCATCTATATTATTGATATGAATATCAGTGAAACATCTAAACAACTAAGAAATAATATATAACTAATTCTCAACATTCTTTCACACCATTTAGTATTTTTGTTAGATGTTAAATTCACTCTAAAAACAGTATTAAGTTTACTGTGTTATACAAATCTTTTGATCAGTCATTCACAATATGCCATATTTTTCTCACTTCCAAGGACTTTGCATAAAATTTCCAAAGCCTTTTTCAAGGGTACCCATTTCACCACACTAGAAACCAAACCTATCAATGCTATTTATTCATGTTGTCATAGATTTGTGGGAAATTTTAAACAAATTACCCAAAAGGGTTAAAATCCAAAAAAAGTGACTGAGAAAATCGCACAGCAGAGGGAACAATAATGTACTTTGTTCTTCTTATTGTTACCATTTTCATTGGCTTATATCATTCAGTGATTGACAGACTTAGATATGACTGATCAGACCTCAACCAATGAAAGTCATAAGAAATAGCTGAAAAACATATAATTTCTACTAAATGTACAGCGTGACCTAGATGTCGTGGACATGCTTCAATCCACTCTTACAATACAAAAGGTCAAAACGGAACATGGATTTCTTTATTTATTTATACTTATTTTCTCTTCCTAGACTGAAATCTTTGAGAAACAAGTTTGGATTGGGACCCTGGTAGTTATAACACCAAGACTTGGTGGTATTGACTATCTGTCCACCCTTTAGTTTATCACTTCAATATTAGGGATGGCTAGAGAAGCTAGCCATGGAGTAATTTTCTGCAGAAATTCAACAAACAAACGTCTTAATTGATTTGAGTCATATCTGAGTTTATGTTCTCGTTCTTTAATCCTCCTTTTTTTTTGGTTTGACAGTTTTTTAAGATGACTGACAAGTTATCTTCTCACTGTAGTTTTTATAAAATGTTGTAAAATATTGTGCACAAGATTGCTGGTTCTCTTTACCATTGTCTATCCGTTACAAACAATATTTACTTAAGATGTTTCATTTAGGCCTAAGATTTTAGAACCTTTCCAATTATAAAAAAAATTAACAATTCCCATTTTTGAGCAGAGTTTTCTGAACTGAAAAACAGGCTTTTATACTAAGGTTAAAAGAATTACTATTTGATACACCTGAGAGAGACTGCATAAAAAAAGATATTATTAACTTTAAAATCTTGAGCCAGTTGTACAGAAATTATCAACATTCTGGTGGCAACTTTGTACAAGAGAAAAATATGTTGACAGGTTTCTTATATAACATGTTGCATAAGTTTATGGTTCAGTCACTTAAAAAAAAAACATGGTGAAAATTGCAAAATGTTGTTTTGGTGGTGTTGAAAAGTCACCCCCAAGAAGGCTCAGGGAGAGGTAATCCTCAATACCAGTGGCATTTGAAGTTTGTTTAGGCAGGATTAGAGTAAATTAATCTACAAGACCTTTTTTTTCCTTTTTATTAGCTATATATTTTGTACACCAGCAATACCAAGCATGGGGCACACATTTACCCGTTTCGATTTTATTACTCATCAGGATCTCTACCAGCCCACCCTCAAATTGAAATTTGTTCAGGCAGGATTAGAGTAAATTAATCTACAAGACCTTTTTATTACCTATATTTTTTTGTAGACCAGCAATACCAAGCATGGGGCAAACATATACCCGATTCAATTTTATTGCTCATCAGGATCTCTACCAGCCAACCCTCAAATTGAAATTCTTTTAGGCAGGATTAGAGTAAATTAATCTACAAGACCTTTTTATTACCTATATTTTTTTGTAGACCAGCAATACCAAGCATGGGGCACACATATACCCGATTCAATTTTATTGCTCATCAGGATCTCTACCAGCCAACCCTCAAATTGAAATTTGTTTAG